TGTTGGCCAGAAGTTTTAAAATTTCATATCATTGATTCTATGTTTTGACGAAAATCAATAAGACTAAATACTACTCCAATTTGACTAAATACAAAAAATATATAGAGATGATTAACGAATGAAGTAAAACACAATTTTTGATATTAACTTAGATTCACTTTTATTATTACTATTTACATATTTCATAATGTTTACAATTGAATGAATTTCGAGAGGGAAATACTGCATCACTCTAGCGCATGCCTTAAGTGCAATTTTCAAACTAGATTTTCAAGCTAAAATTGCGTTAACAGTTGAAAGACTCGTGTGCCACATCACTCCCTCTCTAGTGATTGAGCGAACCATGCACGATATAATTAGTGATCCTATGCTATAGACCGTCTTAAATATTCTCTGCAAATCGAACTGCCATCCAAATTCGCCTGCCGCTAGCTGATGTTTGAGTTTTATTTGTAGAATACTTTTGATTATTTTCGTCTGCTTTTCGATGTTTTGCACTGTTGTGCTGTCTGCTGTTGATCTGTTTTTTGCTCGTCATCACAGAGAGAGGCAGCGTTGACTCGATCTATACTTACACGTACTGGTTTGTCTTCTCGTAGAATGGTCATCAGCTTATTGTCGCTATCGGTTGCCGTAAATGGTCCATCGTAAGGTGCTTTGAGAGGTGATGGAACAGTGTCATCGCGTAGATAAACATGATCACATTTTTTAAGATCTGGTTGTACAAATGTTTTTGATATGGTACTAGTCTTGTTTGCCATTGGTACTAGTCTTAATTGCTCCATTACGTCTCGAAGTGATTTTACGAATTCTGAATTGGACATGTCTTTACTGAAACTTTCGAAAAACTCAACAGGTAATCTAAGTGTCGTATCATAAACCATTTTTGCAGGAGTCGCCTTGATGTCGTTTTTGTATGTGTTTCTCAGTGCGAACAGCACCACTGGTAGTTCATCAGTCCACCTTTGCTTGGGTCTGCACTTTAAAGCTCTTTTAAATGTGCAGTGAAAACGTTCGACAAATCCATTTGCTTGTGGATGATATGGACTTGTCCAAAAGTGTTTTGTACCATTTAGCCTTGTGAGTTCTTTAAATAATTTCGACTCGAATTGTCGGCCTTAGTCGGTTTTTATTTCAGAAGGCACGCTGTAATGTGCAATCCAGCCTTCCAGTACCTTTCAGTAATGTTGAGGCCATTGTGCTTGCATTAATATCGGATAGCAGCCATAGGGATAGCAGCTGGTCATCTGGCAAAGCGATCAATGACCGTTAAACAGTAGCAGAATCCATTTGACATTGGTGATGACCCTATGATATCGATATGTAGAGAGGAATATTGTTGCTCTGGTAGTTTGAAACTACCAATTATTGTTTTATTATATCTGGATATCTTGGTGCGTTGGTATGGCTGACAAGATCTTACCATTTTCGTTATGATTTTTTTATGCCTGGCCAAACGAAATACTGACATATTTGTTTGATCGATAATTTACTTCATGGATGTCCCAGATTGTGTATCTCCCGGAAAACTTACTGTCCATGTCCTTGAGGAACGCAGAGACGCGTTCGTTAAGTTAAAATATCGCATGCAATAGAATTCGTAGTGTTTGGCATGCAGATTCACTTGAGTTACAACGATGTCTCATTGTTAGTTAGCAGGTTTTTTAATTCGGCGTCGTCTTTCTGGCTCTCAGCTTACTTATTGAAATCGATCTGTTAGCAGCCAATACGTGTAAGTAAGTCTGTTAATGCTGTACCTACTGCTGAGTTGCGTGGAGCATTAGTTTATCATATGTGGTTGGATATGCTAATGTATTTGCGAGTGCTTTTTTGTATGTAACGAAAGCCGATTCTGTATCTTCTCTCTATTCCAATTGGGTTTTATCATTATTTTTATTGGTTTTTATAAGTTTTTGCATTTTATTTTGAATTTCGCCTGCACCAGCTATGAAACATCGATAGAAGTTGACCGTAGCTTGAAATTGTCTTAACTGCTGAACCATGTTTGGATTTGGGAAGTTAAGTCTTGCTTTTACTCTTTTCTTTGGTGACCTTGTTGGTTGATGGTGTGACCGAGAAACGTTACTTCTTGTTGGCCAGAGACGCATTTTTAAACATTCCGCTTAAGTCCGTACTGCTGAAATCGCTTGAATAATATGCGTAATGTTCTGACTCTTTTGCTGAAGCGATACAGATGTCATAAATGTAACAAATCACCAAGTGGAGTCCTTTGAGTACTTGGTTCATGTGACGTTAGAAGGTTTGGGCAGCATTGCAGAGTCCAAAGGTTATGACTTTGATTTCGAATAAGCCAAATTGAGTGGTAATGGCTGTTTTTTCCCATCTTCAGGCGCAATTGGTATATTATAATACGCCCTTTCTGAGTCCAGTGTTGTAAAGATACACTTACCACTTAATGTCTGCGTGAAATCTTGCTCGTGGCATATGGGGCACCGATCGGGTATTGTCTGCGCTTTAAGACGTCGATAGTCACCACAAGTCGCCAAGTCTCATTCTTTTTTTCGACTATGTTTAATGGGCTGGTCTACTCACTCTGCGGTGGTACATATATGCCCTGTTCCAGCATGCATTGAAATTCGCGTTTTGCTGTTTAGAGCTTCTGTGGATTAAGTCATCTTGGACGTGAATAAACCGGCTGACCTGTTGTAATATGACGCTGGATAGCGGTTTGATTTTCCCTAATTTCGTTGTAAGATATTGGGTTGATTAGCGCTTTGAATTCTTTTAGCAGCTTTATGAACTTGTGAGCAGTGTTTATTGAAAAAATTAATTCGTGTTGGCGGTGTGCAGTTGTGCAAGATACTTTCCATCCAGTTGGTTTGTCGATGACACATTTGCTTTTGACGTCTTCTATGACACCATAGTGTTCGAGAAAGTCAGAACCCAGTATTGGTTTTTCAATTTCTGCAAACACATACTCTCAATTGAACTCCCACAATTGTTTGTTGCATGTTAATTTTTAAACCACACGTGTTCTATTGGAACCATCATGTCAAAAGAATGCACCTATTATTGGTTAAAAAATTCAAAATAATCTAATTATGTGTTTTTAACATGGTTAAAAACTTCTACCTCTTCACATGGTTTTAAAACATAGTTTTAAAGGTAACAAAGTTGCTTAAAGTAAAAATACCATCGAAGTTGTATTAGATAATAATAGAACACACACAAAGAAGATTTCTATATATTTTTGCCGACTCTACTTCAGGGGAATTTGGCAAATTTCAGGGGAGTATCTTATGCAAATTATGTAGAATAGGAGTAAGCGTAAATCTGCACTCTTTTCACATATTCTGAATGCATATATTGGATGGAGTATTTTTTAAGAAATATACGGCTGGCAGTAATACTGCTTAATATCAGTTAAGACAAGCATTTTAAGTACGTGTACTCACCCTGAATAATGTAGTGTTTGAAGGAGTATTCATTTTGACCGATGCTTTGTACTCTAGGGCAGAAAAAATCGGTGAATTGTCATTTTCGTCATCAACTGTTACTTTCACTAAACAAAAGCCAGATTTTCTCCCAACATCGCTAACTTCGACAAAAAAATCATAATACATCCTTTCCTCTCGATTAAACATATAATTAGTACTTATTGAACCACTACTTTTTGATATATTAAAGATTTCATTCATTTCTCTCGATAAAATTTTAAATGATAATTTTGGATGTTTTGGACAATCCGGATCCACCGCTGTTATCTACATGAAAAATAAAAAAAACCTTCACTTGTATTTTTATTCAATATTTTATTATTGAATAAATATATTATGTAAAATATTATACTATATATTATTAGAAAATATTATAAAAAAATATTTTTATACATTTATAAATATATTAGGGCAATTCACAATCTTGGCGCATCGCACAGTGTGACAGAACACAAAATTACGCGGTCAAAATTCAATATATTCGGAACCAGTAGAGATATCGACATGAAATTTTCCTAAAATATAGTTTTTAAGTTGATCTTAAATCTAATTTGAGCCCAATCGTCCTACCGGAACCCCCCGAAATTTTTGTCCAAATATGGGGCATTTACCGTGGTCCCAAGATTACATAAAAACTGTAAGAGGTGGAAGGCTGAATTTTAGTGTCCGGAAATCTTACTTTGTTATCTAGATTCCATATTTTTTTATGGTTTTCCGCCTACTGCCACACCCACCCCCATATAAAATTTTCATATTAAATCGTTTATTATCGTTAGAAAAAGTTTTTACACTTATTGGACTATATATATACCTGACGTACATAGCAACACAACTTCATGCAAAAAATAGGCGTGATCCGCCCATTAGTTCCTAAGTTATTTGCAGTTTTATGCAATTTTAGCGAAATTACGATTTTGCAAAAATTGAACCAACTTTAAACCTTTATAGCTTTTTTACTACTTATTCAAAAATGATCATTTTTGATTTTTTATGAAGCTTAGGATATTGTTATTCATTATGTGTAAAAAAAATGTGTTATAACTTCGTTATTTTTCAACCGATTTAGTTGAAATTTGAAATATAAATAAATTAAATATTTATAAAATTATAAATGTCATTTTGTTATTATTTATTGAATTTGTTGTTGAAATAAATGGGGTTTATTGAAGGTCATATTTTTCGTAATTTTTCGCTGGTTTCTGAGGCCTGAAATAGGTGTAAAACATAGAGTGCGCAGGCCAATTTTTGTTTTGTTGTAAAGTGTAACTATTTGGCTACACACAATGAATAACAATATCCTAAGCTTCATAAAAAATCAAAAATGATCAGTTTTGAATAAATAGTAAAAAAGCTATAAAGGTTTAAAGTTGGTTCAATTTTAGCGAAATCGTAATTTCGCTCAAATTTCATAATTTTGCTATAATCAAATTAGATTTAAAAGAAATATTAACTCAAAAACCATATTTCAGGAAAATTTTATATTTGACCGCGTAATTTTGTGTTCTGTCACACTGTGCGTCGTTACGAATGCGAAATTAATATGTATTGCAATACCTTTGCAATTGCAAAATCAAATACATTTGTAATTGAATGAATTTCGCAAAACTCTATTGTGAATGGCACGCTGTTTTCTTTTTAATGGATAGCACATCTTCGAGATCTTATTGAAACATAGCTGCCTTAATTCCAACATTTAAAGCCGAGATTTAATTTTATTAAAGAATTACAATGGAGGAGCCGTTAAATATCTTTGCATGGTGCGCAAATAACTAAAAATACAAAAATATCCATTGAGAAGGAAAACAGAGTTCACTGCAATTCCTTACCAAAAATACACACCCTAATTATTATATGCTGAAGAGGAATTGAAAGACAACGTCTCGCACCGAAAATAAAACTGTGCTACCTTAACAAGGTATTAATTTAAAATGGAAGTCTGAACGCAGATGAAATAAGCACAGCATAATGTCAATGATAAACTCTCATAAACTCTCAGAAGTATTGCGAACGTGGTTCTTGGAGGATGAATCTTGAAAAAAAATTTCAATAAAATTAAATAAATTTTTATCTTTGTCCTTTCTTTCTTTGCTATTCGAAAACCTAAATTTTAAATATAGCTTCTTTGCCGTTATAAAGAAAGCATGGCTTTTTTAGCAACACTAACACAAGCTATAAAAATATTTTAATATTTTTACTATTAAATGAACAAAAAAGAACTAATAGGTCGTTTACGTCTCAATTTAACTGATACTGAAAGAAAAGAACCTCGTCGTTTACAAAGACTAAAATTAAATGCCTAACGTACGGATCGTGTTAATGCTTCTAACAGGACAATGCTGACAAAGATCGTTAAGTCTTTCGCAAGATCATTGCAAGATCGACCAGAAGACTTTCTGTAAGATTTTAGCTATTCTGGCACACAGGTCTTTCCAAAAATGACTTATCATTTGTAATTCGTAGCAGAAAGTTCTGTTGTATTTCTTACGTGGAGAAATCAAAAACAGCTGCCAATTGTTGCCGCATGCAAGTAAACAATTGAATTTTAATACAAATGTGATGGAAAGCCACAAGATGTTTGGTACATAGTTATAATTATTTAAAAAAATTAGCTTTCCTTGTTTTTTTGCAATGTAACTTCAATTTCACAATTTTTTTTAATTTAATTTAATTTTGTAATCAGCCGCTTGGCAATGCTCACGCCGTTCATTGCAATTCAATAAAACATAAAAATAAAAAAAGTTTTTTTTATATTATTTTAGAGTTATTTTTTTATGAAACTTGTCAAAATTAAGGCAGCAAATATTAAAATTCAAACAAGATTTTGTATTTTGCTAAACTAGTTAGCATCCGGGTTTATCCAATACATTGTATTGAAATTTGGTGATTATTTAAAAGAGTTGTGTATTTCAGTAGAAAATAGCTATGATACAACAAAATACTTTACGAAACCTGTTTTAGTTATAGATTTAGTGTGTTTGTTTTTACACAGCGGCTTTACTTATTAAAATGGACTATATATTCTTATTTATACTGCTTACCTTTAAAATATTAATTCCAGGATTTTGATTTTCCATGACATTTATTTCATATACAAGTTTTTCACAATAGGGCTCTTCTGAATTTTCATCGTAGATAACAATATCAACTCTTGAATATGAAGTGTGGATGCCGTCTGAAACAGATACATTCAGAGCTGTTTGATAGTTTTGAGAATACCTATGAAGGCTATTTATTCTTATAATGCCAGACTTGTTGTTTATATCATAGTTTTGTAAGTTGTTTCCGTCTAATATTTTGTAGAAAAGGCTTTCATTACTAAGATCTAAGTCATGTGCTTTTATCATCGTTACAAATTGTCCTTTCACTGCATTTTTAAACAACTTACAAGATGTAATTGATTCCATAAATTGCGGTATATTATCATTTAAATCTAAAACTGAAAAGATATATGTTCATTTAAAATCCGTTTTTCTTATGGCATAATACGTTTACTGTAAATGTTATTTATAACTGTAAGTAATAAAGTCAGTTTATGTATTATCAAACGTGATTATATATCTAATATAATAGGTATTTGCTTATCTGATGCGAATTTTAACAACCGAGCACTTGAATCCACCCGTTAGTTAATAGAAATTGAAGAGATTCTTTTGTAAATATGAAAACAATGATTATTATTAAAATTTTCAAATAACTAATATAATAAAATTAATTGATTTTGCACTTAAACAGTTTAATTGGCACTTTTCATTTTTTTACTTTTATTACATATTATTTAAACCAGCATTGTAAATATTGACTAAGCCAAGAAATTGATAAACTTATGCGTAAAATAAAATTACAGAAGGTAAAGAGACAAAAGCAAAGCGTCGTGCTTTTAATGTGGTCCGTGCATTTGAAGTAATAGCCGGAAAAAGACTTTCATTTAATGGCGAATTATTAAATAACCGAATATAAACTTGTAATAAACTTTTTAGTACTTTACTTATTGATAAAAGAGTGAATAGTTATATTTCTAATTAATTAATTCGGATTTAAATTATTTTTCGTAAATTGATTTGCATATCTTAGTAATTTCTGTGTTTTTGTTTATACAAATACATAAAACAGCTGGTAGAGACAGCAATTAAAGCTTGTAATCTCAAAAACAAAAATCAAAAAGAAGTGTTGAAACACGTTCAAATAAATTACACAAAATATTAGTGTAATATATATATCACACTTTATATAATATAAAATATAAGTGTAATTGTGTATATTATATTGATAGAATAAAATAATACTTTTTAATTAAATATACAGATTTTTAATTTTTTTTTTGTTTTTTTTTCTTAACGTTTTGATTCTTTATAATGCCGGTTGATCGTACTCCACCGAAAGGTGGAGTCCAACAACAACTTAATCAAGAGCAAGAAATACAACAACAGCAACAGCAGCAACATAAAACACAGAAACAAACTTTACAAATTCAGCAGCAACAGGAACAAAAATCGAAATTATGTCAAAACTCATTGACTTCTGTACCATCTCTATCACCTCAGCTGTGGAGTGTTCAATGTAAAACTCCTAATTCCGGGAATAATTTTAAATTTCCAAATAAACCAATCAAAATACAAACAGGAATTGAACGATATATGGTACTGAAAACTTAAGTATACCATATAAGCGAAAACTTACCCCACAAAAAAACACAAACAATCGTGACAAAATTCAAAAAAAATACCCAACAATAATTATAGCAACAGATTTAAACCATTGAGTGATGAAAGTGACAACGTAGAAGAAATCAAAGAAAAAATCGTTAAACCACCGCCTACACTAAATCATACTGTAAACTTACCAAGGTTTGTGTTATTTGTGTCAACATCCATAGCTCAGATAAATGTCCTAAAGGCAAAGAAAACCCAGCTGTTAGAAAATGTTCAAACTGCGGTGATAGCCACACAGCAAACTATAGAGGATGTCCAGTTTTCGCTGCCGTAAGACAAAAATTAAACGTTGCTCAAAAACAGCGCGCCTCAATCTGCTAAATTTCTCAACATCTCATTTCCCGCTCCTTCTAATGTTGGTCCTGGATTGCAACCTCCGGCTCCACCAATGCAGCAAATGCCGTACGCAAATGCCACCACCAAACAAATCCCACTTCTTACCAAAAGCTTTACTTCCGTTCCAGGCATTGAAGCAATGCTTGCAAGTTTTACCCATAAAATTTAACACTTCATGAACCTCATGCAAAACGTTATGAATAGCTTGATGCAAAGCATGATACAAAACCAAAGTTTAATTGCTGAGTTGGTAAAACCTAAATGAATGCAATCACAATATGCCATTGGAATGCAAACGGCTTAAGCCAACATGTACTGGAAGTATCTAGATTTCTGGAGAGTAACAACGTCGATATACTGCTTATATCCGAAACTCATTTAACCTTCAAAAACTGTTGTCGAGTTTATCGATATAAGTTTTATGATACTAAATATCCAGATGGTAAAGCATGTAGCGGTTCTGGAGTACTTGTTAGAAACACAATACAACATTATGAAGTCCAAAAGCATTGTTTTAAATATTTAGAGGTTACATCAATTTGCGTAATAAACATCAGACTTAATCGATTTCGCAGTCATTAATGGATTGAAACGTGAAGACATTGCTATAAAATCATCTTATGACCTGTCCTCTGACCATTCTCTGGTTATTTTAACTCTAAATTTAAAACTAACTTAAATGAGCAGAATAAGAAAACTCTTATAAACTGGAAGAATTGTAGAAATTTTATTAATGAGGAAATAAGTAATAACTCAAATTTTAGATCACCCAAAGAAATTGATAAAGCAGTTGATCACTTCACCAAGACATTAAATAATGCTGTAATTAAAGTCTTTCAATCAAAAAGGTCAATCCAGTCAAATATAGTATTTCAATCACACATTGATTATCTTATTTTCCCGAAAGACTTCGATCACCCACCTCAAAACAAAGATTAAATAAAGCTTCAAAAGATCTTAAAAAAGCCCTATCTGATGACAAAAACCGCTTTTTACAAGAATATCTCGAGTCTCTTGGTCCACTTAAAGAAAACAACTATTCTCTGTGGAAGGCAACGAAGAAATTTAAAACGCCAATACAAAATGACATCGAATCTCCTTCTATTGTTGAAACTCCCCTTACGTTGTCTTTTGATAACGTCAAGGAAACTATCCGAACATATGCAAATCCCAAAAAGGCACCTGGATACGATAAAATTACGGGTAAAATAATACAACTGTTGCATGATTCAGCAATAACTTTTCTAACGGTGATATTTAACAGCATCTTCGCTTTTGACTACTACCCGAAGCAATGGAAAGTTTCTGAAGTAAATATGATTCCAAAAGCAGGAAAGGACCTAACTTTGGCATCATCATATAGACCAATTAGTCTTTTGCCCCAGTTATCGAAAATCTTTGAGAAAATGCTGCTGTCATATGTTATATTATGCCAATAATAAATCAAAACAATTTGATCCCAAACCATCAATTTGGATTTCGAACAGGACATGGCACTTTTGAGCAAGTTCACAGAATTGCTAAAGAAATACCTACTGCCTTTCAGCGCAAACAATACTGTTGTGTCATTTTCTTGGACCTAGCCCAAGCTTTTGATAAAGTTTGGTACGAAGGTCTTATGTATAAAATAAAACACTATCTTTCTGAAAATATGCATAAGCTATTGTATTCATATATATCTTCTAGAAAATTTAGATTGAAATACAATACCTTTACTTCAAGAGAAATCGACATAATGGCTGGTGTTCCTCAAGGAAGCGTATTGGGGCCGTTTCTGTATATAATCTACACAGTTGATCTCCCACTACTCTCAAATCACTTACTTGCTACTTTTGCGGATGACACTGCAATTCTTAGTTCTAACAGTGATCACATAAGTGATCACATAAGGGCGTCTCAAAGTCTCTTGACTCACTTAAGTCGATTGGAGAAGTGGCTAGCAAAATGGCGCATAAAAGTAAATGAAACGAAGAGTGTGCATTTCACCTTTACTCTGCGAAAAGAAACGTGGCCCTCTGTTAAGTTGAATAACATCATTATACCCCACTCACATAATGTAAAATATCCTGGCATTAATCTTTATAGAAGGCTGACTTGGACTAAGCACATTGAAAGCAAAAAATCTCAAATTAAATTGAAATCAAAGCAGCTCCATTGGCTTATTAATAAAAACACTAAGCTAACTCTGGAAAATAAAGTCCTGGTATACAATTCAATCTTAAAACCAATCTGGTCCTATGGTATAGAACTCTGGAGTACAGCATGTGCCTCTAATATCGAAAAAAGACAGAGAGTTCGAAACAAATTACTTAGACAAATAACTGATGCTCCTTGGTATCTCAAAAATATACACAACGACCTTGGAATCCCAACTGTTGCAGACGTCATTAGAACATGCAATCCAATGGCGCAACAGCTGCTTTCTGATACCACAATATCTATACTTAAGCGAAAAAGCTTATACCAACTTAACGTGATTTTACTATGTGGCGACAGTACAACCAATACGACAACACAGAAAATATCCAATTGTCATTCTTGAAGAAAAAATACACCTGGCAATGCTTAAAAGATAAAAGCACATGTAAATAGTTGATGGTTAATTTTTCTAGAGTAAAGTTGTATCGTTTTGTAGTTTGAAGAAAGTAGTTTTGTATTATATTGTATTTTAAATAAAATAGTCAGAAGAAACGACTAAAGTGGTGAGCCCGACGCGCAAAGTAAAAAACTTACAGAACTAATTTTTTTAAAAAAGAAAAAAAGGCCAAAGTAACATTAGTTTTAGAAATGCTAAACAACATGTACTAAAACTATTAACGGGCTTATCCAACACGCACATCGTCATCACAAGTTGCAGAACAAGAGTACTTGGAACAGCTAAGGTGGTGACTCCGTTGAAAAATCAAGCAAAAACATTACAAAGCAGTACATCTTATGCAAGAGTACACGAGCAAGCTGCGTTCCAGACAGGCACACGACAACATGGCTGTAAATGCAGAACAAACTGTAAATCCACAAGTAGACTCCACTGAAATGAACATGAGACACAATGTGAGAGTCCCGAACTTCAATAAAACCAACCCATCGGTATGGTTCGCGCAACTGGAACGAGTCTTTCGTTTAAATAATATTCGAGAAGACACAGACAAATTCGATTGGGTGGCAGTAAATTTAGATGAAGACATTGTGATGATTGCTGAAGATCTAATTACAAATCCCCCAACGAACAATAAATATGAAACACTCAAGGCACGTTTGTTGGGGAAATTTGCGGAATCAGCCGAATCCAAGTTGCGGCGCCTACTACAAGGAGGAGATACTACGGGTATGAAGCCGTCGGAAATACTTTCGAACATGAGACGTCTTGCACCGGATCCAAATAGCGA